AAGCTGCCACTTAAACAAAGCTACAGTTCTGACATTAACCACATAAAGGAGACAAACCATGGAGACCACAGCACACGGCAACACTTCTCTCCACCTGTCTGTGATAGCAACATATTTGATGCTCAACTACTGCAAACAAACGACTTGGTGTGGTGAACAGGATGCACCCTCTCAGCACTCTGCAGCAGGCTGGTTCATCTCTGCTTTACCCTCTCATCACCCTCAGAGATGTGCTTCTTGCAGAAAAGCTAGTGCTAATACTTTGCCTGACTACCACATCCTCTGGTTTTGCACTGGAAGCACTGGAAATCAGCAAAGCAAATCTGATTGATCGTGCTGCAGCAGTGCGGCGTGCTCTGACCAAGAAGCAGATGAAATGGACTTCACAGAAGATGGTTTATTCTTCGCTCTTTCTGGATGTAATTGAAGATGAGATCACCACAGGACAGTCACTGTCCTTGCTGAAGTATCCTCCATATAAGATACTCCTTATAATGGTCTGTAAGGCAACAAAGGGAGACCATTCCAACTCTAACATCATGGAACAGAGTAAACAATAATACACCCAAGGTCAGGCCTGCAGTTTTTTCACACAGCAGGGATCTGAATCCAGATTTGGTGAACGTCAGTATAGGATGGAACCACTGGCAAATTTCCAGGAAATGCAGCATGAAAGTTCCCAAAGGGAGCAAAGTGGAACGTCAGCTTCTTTGCCTTTAACTTAGCAACAAGATGGAGAAGAGAGTGCAAGTCACACATGCTTTTGAGAACAACTGCAAATACTCAGGCCTTGCCTGTAGGCAGGAACTGCTGCAAACAGGTTCCCCCTTCTTTGTCATCCCCACCCATGTGGTCCCCAACAGTGAAATACACAGGCATGAGAGAAAAAACCCTAAAGCAGTTTACTCATGAGCATATTCCTTGAAAAACAGCTGATTTTGCCAAAAAGTCCAGTGCATATGGAGTTAGTATCCCACAAGACACCACACGACCTCCTACTTCGAAAAGACCACCCCAGGGTAAATCTTAGGAACAGTTCAGATGCAGACTCTGAGCCCCAGCTATGTCAGCCTAAACCCATCTGGCACAACCAAAGAGGTGACTGCAAGACAGAGGAAAGCTGGGAACAGGTCTGATTCTGCAACTGGGACACTTTTTAGAACATCCTTGAGGCTACAGTAATTTCTACTACCTGTCCCAGATGCAACAGCTGAATGCAGAGCATGCCCTGGCAGGATCCCAGAGCTGGAGGATGGTAGCATGTAAATAGCCTTCTCCATTCATGAGGAACTGGATGGACCAGGCTGAGACTTGTAAGCAGCTGCCAGCCAAAATAAACAGAGAAGGACTGTGACATGACTCTCCACAGGGAGGAACTTCTGAAACTTCCAACACTTAAAGCATATAAAAATATCTACAGGAGAGGAAATAGGCTGAAAATTGGATAATGTTTCTCTAGGTATCTCATCTTCTTGACTGTGAGAGAAAAGCCTTCTCTCACTGCGTATTTGTCCCTTTGGATGCAACCTGGAGTATAAATAGTAGCTTATTAAAACTTAAAAACAGCTTTGAAAACTTGTCCAGACAAATAAAATGTTAATGCAAGTTTTGGCTTGGCCAGCACTTCAGGGTACTTACATGGGAACTACACCAGAACAAGAATGGTACTCTACATCTGTCCTCCAGGATACTAGAGATTGTCCAAGATCATGGATAAATGCAGCTCTAGGGGGGCTTTAGGCTTCCCATTAATAGCATGGGGTACAATCCCAGTCCTGTATCACAAGCTCTGAGGTCTCCTTCCAGCTTGCCTACACGAGCCCCACACCAAAGCTCTGTTTTACAGGAACAGAGGTTAAAGCCCCATTTTGCAGCTGCATCTCCACTGAAGTCCTCTGTTGACCCGACTTTTCCCATTGGGGGACTGCACCTTTCCATGCTCCCACACAGGAAGTCTGTGGCAGGACTGCTCTTCAGCACACAGCTAAACTAGGACCACAGCACCATCTGCAGGGCTCTGCCAAAGACCAAGCTTTTAGCGGCTCCTCCTCGGGAAGGCCAGCACTACCCTAGCAGACACTTCACACCTGGTAACTCCAAATCACAGCACACACAGCCACACTCTGCAGAGTCCTGGAGGAATACACAGCCTCTCTGAAAGCGTCACTTGAGGAAACAAATCACCGTTTTAATACAGTTCCAAACCCCCAGTCAGTTCCCAGAAAGCAAATGTATGTCAGATCCTAGATTACATAAAATGCCTAGATTACATAAAAAGCATCAGCATTCTGTGGCTTCAGGGAGCAGCTATGCCTCTGCAGAGCTCACGTGTACAGCATATTGCTGATGTCAGCCAAGCCTCCTGCTCACAGGCAACAAAGACAACATGTTGTCTAGTGCTGGGACTGCCTCACATTCTTTAAAACCACCACCTCCAAAAAGCTTTGCAGTGCTTCTCTGTCAAAATGAACCTGGGCCAATATTGCGTAAAGCCCTGAAGAACACACTGTACCACACCAGCACATTCCCCCAGATGCAAATATGACAAATAAATCCAGCCTCTTAGGACAAAGAACAGTTTTTCTCCATTCTTGTCTTCATGAGAAGGTCAGCAGCACCATCTGATTTTCTGAGACATATAACCACTATGCAGCACAAACCTACAGAAATGCAAGATTTTTTTATTATTGCTTTAGCTATAAATATAGGAATTTAACACTTGTCCTACTGGATTAAACCATCTGTTCCACAGAGAGAGTGCCCTGCTCAGAGCTCTGACAAGCGATTGATTGATGCTTCCAAGAACAGGCACACTGCTCTCTGCAGCCCAGTCACCAACATTCTCAGAGGGACAGCTACCTCTCCTACTGCAGGGAATCAGCCTGCCCTTTGAAGAATGCAATATATGGTGCCAGGTAATATTCTCATAAGCCAGGAAACTATCCAACTTTTACAGTGCCCTGCAAAGTAAGCTGTGCTTCTTGCCGTGTTTCATATATAAACACTGCCAACACCCAGATGAAATCTGTGAACTGTTTATAAATTAAGAACTATCTTTGGTGAAGTCCACCTTAAAATCGACCCTAAAAACCAAATAAACAATAATCCAAAAAACCACAAACCATAACACCTCTTTGACTACCATTTGTACTCACAGCTCTAGCAGGCAAAACTGCCAGAAATCAGCTGTGCTGGAACTTTATTTCCAAACCTAGGATCAAATGGACTTTAATTGAACCCTTCTAGTTCTCTCCTTCCCTAGATTTCCCCTGCTGTGTTTAACTAGGGCAGGTAGTGCAGGCCGGTGAAGGCTTGTAACTTCACGTAAAGAGTGTACAGGACATGGCCAACTACTGGGGTAAATAGAGTGGTGAGATGGATAAATGAAGTGTGAGTGGTATGAGAGGGTGAAAGGCCAGTCTGCAAACAGAGCTGTAAAAGCCCAGAGGGTGGGGGAAGGATCCAACTGGAGCCTCGAGTGCTGGTATATCAGAGACAGCTCAGACATCTGAGGAAAAGCAGAGCCAATGTTCAAGAATTACAGAGCAGATGAGAGATAGGGAAGTGTGAGTGTGGGAGATGTAGAGGGGAAAGAGACCATGTGATGAGTGCTCACAAAAAGCCCTCTTAATCTGTTGCAGCCTTACAAACAGATGCTGAGTTTGCTGATGAAGCTCCTACCTTTCCTGTCCTTCCTGGCTGTGTTCTCCCTATTCAGCCTGGACAGCACCTGATAGCACCTCCTTGGTGCACATACAGCAAATATCACTATCTGAAAACTTCCACCCCTACTAAAAGCTCACCTCCACTGGCTCACCAAGTGCTTCCTTTCAGACTGGCAGAACAGATCCTTTGGTTTGCTTTCTTTCCTTCCTTCTCTGTCTAGCTATGGTAAGGATGGAACTTGCAACACTGGAAACAGCAGCAAGAAGCAACTGGAATTTAATCCTTCCATTATTTATAACATAAATAATGGACAGTCATGATGTTGACTGTCCATTTCCGTGGTGTTTCAGCCAGCCCTACTCTGAGTCACACTTTCCAAGGAAAGAGACCTCATCTATTGCTGTAGCTGCCAAGAGACTGGGTCCGACTCCACACTTAGCCTGTTGTCAAGTTTTTGTACAAGTCATTTCACCTCCTGCTTTTTAACTTCTCCATCTGCAAAACTGGAGTAGCAGTTCTGGCCTTCTTTGTAAAGTCCTGCATTTAAATGTCTTACACAAGAGTCAAGACATTCCTATTACTATCAGAGGCAATGTGCAGATGCCAGGTGTTCAGGTCTACTAGCATGTTTGAAAACATCACTGCACAGCAGTTCTTGTAAGGACACTGATCTGAAGCATTATCTTTATTACAATGTTTTGATTGCTTCTGGCAGCATCCACCAAGTGTCAGGTGGTGTAGACTCAGATGGTGTAACATGTGTGCTGATCCCTCAACGACACATCACTCAGCAGGACTGGGAAATGAAAGCTGCTTTGCTGTTAGAGATCTACTCCAGAGCACTAGGATCCTGGAATAGAACTGAATTTGCAATGTGCAGGTTAGTCATGTCCTATTTTACCAGCAATTCCATGTGCCAATATAAGCCAGAGTTGAGACCTATCATCCATTCTGGTCACACTCTACATAAATTTATCTCAAGGCCAAAAATGAAAAGTTAAATTCTTTCTAGGTCAAATAAGTGATCTGACATGTTGAGAAGTTGTATTTTTAATGAATATCTGGAGCCGTGAACTCTTCCATATTGAGTCCTGATATTAATGAGCAAATGAAAAAGTTGCGAGCAGTTCCCTGAAGAAGGTGAGAGATTTCTACATGCTCTGCTGAACTTTTACATCTCTGGATGAAGTCTGTATCATGAGATGAGGGGGTCTGCCCTCATGGACAGTTCAGTGGCCCAGGGAATGAAGTGGAGATTCCTTTTGCCACTCAGAGTTTTCAACAAGCTGTTCAGGAGGTCTCACCAGCAAAAAGATTTATTTCTGGTACAGCTGTCATCTGTTTTGCTTCTGGATGTGCAGAAACCTAGGCCTGGGGGAAAACGAATAACCAGAGCTTTAAGTCTTGCTAAGAAGAACATGCCCCTACCTCTATCATACAAAAGCAGAAACTTTCCAGTGGAGATAATCTCACCAGAGCAGCCTACCTCCACCAGAATTTCTGACTCAGAAAGACTTGCCAGGCTATCTCAGTATGTGAGAAGGTTGAGATACTTGAAGGGAGCCCCTCTTTTGTTAAAGACTGACTTCAGCTGTGGCCTCTCTGGATTTCATTCAATACATCAGCGTGCAGGGACTTAATCTACAAAGGACACAGACTTATACCTGAAGCAAAAATCTGAAGGTAAGAGAGACTTACTTGCCACAGAAGTCCCTATGAACGGCACAAAGGGCAAGTAGCAAGTTGGGGTGTGCCTGCAGCCAATCCTCCACCATAGCTGGGTGTCTGGAATCAACTTCCAGAAACACACTCCTGAAAGGACATATTTGGGAGTAGAAAGTGGTGAGATAATCACATTTAGGTTGCTAAACTGATAGAAATTACAGTCTGTCTTTCTGGACTAGCCTTATCAATACAGAAAATGAGAAGGTCAGCAAACACAATGCAATCCAATAACCCTAAATCAGATCATAGATGTCCATTTAAGATGCAGATCCCAGCTGCCTCCTTCAGGGGGAAAAAATGTTGATCTTGGAAGGAATTCTCAAAATACCCCTCTGTGTGAGAAGTTAAACCCTTGTATTAAGACATAAGGATCCTTCTGAACCCCAAGCAGATACCACTAATTCTGTCTTTCTGAGTCCCCTAAAGATTTAAGACCAGAATGAAGTATTATGATGAAAATGCATGAACACAGAGCACTGGATTGGAGTTCCTCTTTGTATAAGCAGGGTGATCATTAAGTCCCATAGTGAGAGTCATAAAGTACAAGTCAGAACACACATTTTTCACAGTAAATGTCTCCATAAATCAGTTATGAAAACATCAGCAGCATTGAGACCATACAGTCCTAGACAGAGGACTATACAAAGGAGAATGCAGCAGGGATCAGGGAACTAATCAGACAAGCTCAGTTAATGCACCAGGACAAGGCCTGGCCACTGAAGGGCTATTTCCATCCCTGCTGCAGCTGAGCTTTATGACACTGGCTCATTTCTGAGTCTCCACTCCCATGAGGTGGCAGAACCACCCAAGCTTACAGGCAGCATGGCAATGTAACTGGTTATGGCCTGTGACAGGGCAGCAAGATAAAACTTTAACAGGCAAAGAACAGAGGCCAAGCCCCAAGCATCTCCTGAGAATTCCTAAAACACCCAGACTGCATACTCCCATAAATCCACCAAATTAACTACAAGCTACGTGTGGGTCTAATTTCTGACCTTAAAAAACTTCCATTCTTCGATGGGGGCTCCACCTTATACCACAAGCAAAAAGGAAGGGAAAAAAACCCAATTCTAACAAACAGCCCCATGAGACCACTCTCTGTTGCTGGGAATGAATTCTGGTGCATGCAGTATGCCTCTCAATATTCCTGTTCCTCTTCTCAAACCAGCAGATTTTCAATTACCTCTCAATTTTCAACAGGTATGGGAATGCAGTGGCACAACAGACTTTTGGGTATCAGCATGTTGATCTTTAAGCACAAAATGGATCCCACATGATAGGAAATGCAATCAGTCTTGACTATTAACCAGGGAGAAATTCAACAGTTAAGAAATTATCCCAGCCTGATCTTTTTTCTCCTGGGATATTCAGCATTGTATCCTGGCACAATAAGCAAGTTCCCCTAATAAAAGGGTGGGAGGGAAGCAGAGATCTACATTGATTCTCACAGAGCTCTATATTGCTTCTCCTTCAAGCAGTTTTTCTGCTTAGAAAGCTTGATTTTCTTTTTAGAACTCTCCACTGCTCTCTTTTGTGTTCTTTTTCTTGCTGCTCTGACCTTTAAAGATTCTCACTTCACTAAAGACTATGAAGTTCCACCACTGGACAAGGAAGGCCCATATCCCTTTATTAACTGATTTCAAGCCAATTTTGATTATATACACGGGATTTTTAAAACTGCCATTATTAGCCAGGGCAGGACATTTTTTGCAACTGTTTTCTCTTTGTACGTTCCTGTATGAAAAGGAAACAGAACTTATAGAAGCAAATAGACAAAAGACATTAAATCCAAACACAGAACACAGTGCTTACCCAGAATCCTTCAGAAGAGAAGGAGCCAGAGTCAGGATTGTTTTGATTACTCTCATGCCATCATCTCCTCCATCCAGTGCACCAAGGTCCTCATAGCTGGAGTGTGGGAATAAGATGATGTTAGCAGCAACTCTCATGGCATGAGCCAGGCCCTTTAGGATGCACTGCCCCACACTGCATGGAGAAAGGTGCACCTAACACATCTGAAGTCAGTACTACTACAGAAGTTGACAGCACTCACAGCTTTTAGATAAAATACAGGAAATAAGAAGGCAGCTACCACTAGACTGAGAAACTCCATGTAGCACACAAGCAGTAAGCATCCCCTGAACTCTTCCTGAAAATCATGAGCCAACTGCAGCTGGCATCATGCAGTTCCAACACATAGACCTGTTCTCTCTGTGCTAGCTGGGCAGGGAGAGAGTGGGTTGTATAGCAGGGGCTCACTTGCTTTATTTCAGTTGTGCCAACAGCCAGCTTGCACTGTCTTCTAACCTAGCAGAGCAAATCAGCTCAACTTTCACATCTCATACAGGTGTGGGGGCAGGACTTTGTCCTGACATGCATGACTACCAATTCTGAGAAAGAACCAGCACACACAAAGTAGTTCCATATCCCAAAAGAGCTTATTCATGTTTGTGTGGGTTTATTTGCTTAAGACAAGTATTGAGATGAGAACAGGTGACAGCATTACCACCCAAGTATTTTTTCTACCACAAAAAGCTGCTCAGATTACTTATACTTCTTGTCATAAACTCACATAAATTATGGGAGGAAAAAAAAAAAAAGTCTAGAACAGTTTTGGATTGGAAACTTGATAATTTCAGTGTGAGTTTTTTCTATTTTTATAAATATTTAAAGTACTTTAATATTGTTTCAGATCTGTGAGCAGTTATCAAAGTAGCACTTTATTATTATATATCATATAAGCACACCTACCCTATCTATAAATATTCTACATTTGCATGTCTTGTGTGCAATTGTGTGTAGGATAAGGAAGCAGACAAAAACTTTTCTCCAAGTAGAAAAATCTATTTGATTACCGGAGGATTTCTGCATCCAAGGAAGCCATGTCTTCATGGAAGACATAGGGAGGGTTACTGACTATGAAGTCTAAGGGGCCCCAGCATAGCAGCTGCTTAGCAGAACCTGGAAAAGAAGAATCACAACGAGCTCTCAACCACAGCAATCTGCACTATAAACTCACTGTCAAAATCCTATCCAGGAAACTGCCTCTCCACATACAGGCCCATTTGTGTCTGGCTCTGCTTTTCTCTAACAAAATTTTATCCTATTTCTTTTTGGGATAGCTTGCTCACTCTCCCACCTTGAATACAAGAGCGACACAAAGCTAAGCACTGGCAAAGTATAATTTTTTTGTATCAACAGCTGTGCTTGACACCACATGTTACAGCAGAGGACCTTGATGCTCTGGAGTTCTGTGCCCATCTGAATCTTAAGCAACATCCAAAACATGAAAGAGCCCACAAAGATTTAAGTGGGAACATACCCTTCCTCTTATCAGAGGTCCTTCTGCAGCTCTGATGAGCAAAGGAGCTGGTCCCTGTCATCTGTATCAAACACCTAATGCCTTGTTCTTCTGCAGACAAGGTTCAGCTCATGGTGCTCATGCTGCTGTCTGGACTTGCATGTACCAGCCCTGAATCAGACACCACATAACTATGGGAGTGTGGCACTGTCTCCTGGCCAGCCTCTTAGCACAGGGCTTATCCATGCAGCTGCAATACCAACACAGCCCACATGGCTTTGGGACTGGAACTGTCTGGCTCACTGCTGCTTAGACCATGGGCAGCACAAATCCAGACCTGCAGACAGAAGACTGTGTAGACACAGCCCTGAGAGGCAGTGTAATGCAAAAAACAATAGTGTCACAAAGGTGCACTAATGATCTACAATGCCGGAGCTCCTGGCTCCATAGTTCCTGACTAAGAATTACCAGAACACGTATCGACCTAACTGGATAAGCCTCACCAAATGGCAGTTTTAACTGGTTTCAGCCTTGTCTGGGGAAGACAACAGGTATTGTTCCCTGGTTCAACCCATCTAAATTCAGATCAGTATGGCTGGGCACTTAATCTAAGATAAATATCTGGGCTCCCTCCAACATCAACGTAGAGGCAAGTACAGATGTTTATCTAAAGCATCCATGTCAGTATGGGATGAGTTACCCTCTGTATATATTTGTCTCTCCCTAGTAACATTAGAGAGCACCTGGACTACCAGCTCAGACACAACCTTTAGACACCCAAAACCAGGAATGATTCACCTTCTGATGTAGTCAGGGACTTCTCTCAGCTGATCATCTGGCCTGGAAGTCTCTGACAGGAAAATCTTCATTGGCTCACTTCTTACCGACCTTTTACTCTACTAACTTCAGCACCATCTCAACCGCTGCATCCCAAAGGGGCTCCCTGGCTGCCTCTCATGCCTGCCTCCCCCCACCAAAGTAAAAAGGGGGAAAATACAAAGGAAATTAGTGAAAATAGTTACCATATGAAACATCATGGTGGAGGATGTGAACCCTGTCTTGCAGTTGCAGCCTTTCCAGATGCAAGAACAGAAAGAAGAATGATTAGAAGGCATGTTTGTGTAGATTGATGAGCAACAAACTCTGTAAACAGATGATTAAACATCACACCTCTTATCTGATATACATATAATCCTACCCCATCAACTGCAGTTGACTTTCTCTCAATCTGCATGGGAAATTTAGGATCTGCTTTTTATCCATAAACAACATTCAAAGCAAAGAGCACACTGTACATCCATGCTGATTCCAAGGTGGGACTGCTGTGCACATAAAACCTATATATATCAACCCTTGCCATACATACACAGTACTCCCTCTCCTTGCTGCACATAAACTGTCTTGGTCTAGTGACGGTTGCACTAGGTGACTTTAAAAAAAAAGTCACTTCCAACACAAACTATTCTGTGATTCAGCAGCTCTAAAGACCCACACACAGCACAGGTGTTGTGCAAACAGCACGGGACCCAGCAGCACCATTGTCACCAACCTAGGACTGCAAGGAGGATGCTGAGGGATATCATGCTAGCACATCAGAGTGAAGGTGCTATTTGAGTGTGCAGGCTTATAACTAGAGGAGCAATGGCAGAAACAAGCACAGCAATAATGATAGGAGGAGCCAGAGAGAGAAAGATTCAGGCTATACTTGTCCTTAACCTCCACATTCTTACTGCCTGCTGCTTTCAGCTTCCCAAGTTCACAGAAAGGGATAAGAGTAGTTACCATGAACCACTTCAAAAAGCCTTGAAAGACAAACAGTATTTAAGTACTACTGTTTTATTTAGGCTGCTGTATTTCAAAGCACATTCACAAGTCACAAGAAAAAACACCCTGGTAAATATCAGCTTTTTTTTTTTCTTTTCTGAATTTAGGAGCTCAACCTAGGGAAACTAGGGAAATATTCCCTGGTTTCCAGCGATGATAAACACGAACCACATGCCCAAATATTGAGCACGCTTGGTCTTTCTCAAGCCGAAATTTACACAAAATCGGTAAGAGACAAGCTTGTACCTATGTGCATTCTCCCTGGTGAGATCCACAGCAGCCTTCTCTTTATCCACAGCTACCACCCGGCTCTGGAACAGAAAAAAAACAACAAACAAGTGTTACAAAATCAAGGTTCCTGAGCAGACATACTCTGCCAAAAGGGACATCCAAGATATGAACTGACAATTTGCTGTTCACTCTTGGCTCCTGAAAGGGATAGCCCATGAAGAATGCATCTCAGGGCACTGACGGGATCACAAGTCACTTCCAGTAAGACAGCTAACGTGACAGAAGGCACTCTGCAACACTGCCAGCAGCCTACCAAAATAGACTGGCTTCTGACCCAACCAAAGAAGCTGACAACAATGGAGTCCCACTGACTCACATCACCTGATATGTTCATAGCTCCTAGTACTGTCAGACTCAACACACTGGCTAGTCTGGGGTACACACAGCTTCTCTCTAATCTGGACAGCTTCTGGGGTCCCAAGCTTCTCTCTAATCTGGACAGAATCCCTGCCAGCATTAACACAACCACTTGCACAGAGGTTCTGGCCTTTTCTATCTGTTATGCAGACACTTTTTGCCTAGTTACTCCACTACAGTCCTCACACCACGTTCACTGCATATAGACAGTGTGTACTTGACTGTGTGTCAAGTATTTGAAAGTACGCCAGTGTAATGTTAAGAGACAGGCCTACACAGAGATCTGTCTGACCTTCCGTTCCACCTTAGGAAAAGCACAGGCAAAAGCCTAACTTGTTTTTGATTTGCCTAATGTTTTTTTTTAAACACAGATGTATGTGTATTTACATGGAGCAAGTATGCTCAAATAAAGTACTTTGCATTTGGACATGGTGGTGTCATCAGTCATCATTCCAAGGGGGGCCTAATTTCACAGCCTGAGAGCAGCACACACACACAAAGGTGAGACTTAAGGTGAAGGGACAGCTGAATCCAAAAGTGAGAAGTTGCTGTTGTTTTCTCAATACCCTAGTGCCAAATTCTGCCTCAAACACTGAAGAAAAGATCACAGACTGTATGTACACTCTTGGCTGTCAGTGTGGCTTCCACTAACTCTCATCAGTCAAGGCACTTTGTGTCAGTAAGCTGGGAAAGGACTGTTAGCTCTTTAACTTAGCAGGCAAGGAAAAGAGCAGGACATTCAGCTCAGGAAGTCAGAGTAATTATACTTTGAAGACATAAAGCTCCAGTATTAACCTTACCATGTCACCAGGAGGAGGAACACAGGCATCAACCTCTAATTCTTACACACCAAGTCTTATGTTTCTACAAAAGGAGGGGCTGGCCACAGCAGTTCTCATGAGGAATGGGCTGATGTGCAGTTCTGAGCAATAGGGAGTAATTTTCCCTTAACCACATGTGACAGCATATTGGATTCATTTCTCTTCCTGTAAGATTCAGCTTGACAGGGTGCTGGCCCATCTCATTTAAAGTAATAATAATTACCTAGAAAGGTTGAACCAGATGATCCTTGAGGTCCCTTCCTACCTGGCATTCTATTATTCTATGATTCTCCTTCTGTTTACCGACAGGATCTCACTGAGCATGTTACATGCCACATTAATCAGGGGCAGGGGCTTTGGTTACCGATCTCGGACCCTTTTCTGGTCTCACTAAGTACAAAAGATGTGGGTTGTTATTAGGAAACAAAAGACTTTGAAAAAAATGGCTCAGCAGTAGTGGCAGTATGACATTTACCCCAAGCACTGACACTTCTGTGGTAATCCCTCTCCCTTTATTCCTTTAGTCTTCAGTCTTCTAGAGACAAGATCTTTTGATTCACAGCAAGGTGATTTGTAGAGATGACTGCCTCATACATTCAAGTAACAGAGTGTGTGCCCACACTTCAGTCCCTCTTGTCCACAACCCAGAATATTAGCTAAAATCAACACCCATCAGTGCTTCAAGGTAAAGTGATTAATAGTGAGCTGTGACAGCTGAAGAATAAGCTTCCATTCTGACTCTGTCTTCACTACTGCAGATAGCTGGAGAAAGCAATTTTTAAATATCCCTTTTACTTAGCATGAATTTATAGTGCCTGATTGTCAGAAACCTTAGCTGCTGAAGTCCCATAAAAGCAAAGAATTTTTCTATTAAATCCCTATGAAGACTAGTCGAGTGGCATCATCCTCTAACATGGGCACCTATTGTATCATGAGCACTGAAAAAAACTCACCTGTGGCAGTCTGAACAGCAGACTCAGAGAAATTGCTCCAGAGCCACAGCCAACCTCCAGGATCACAGGATGAGGGTCAGGAACTGGGAAGCAAAGTCCTGAATTCTTCTCACATTTCTGAAATTCTTCTTCCACAATTAAAGAGACAAGATCCTAACAAAACAAAACAAACAATACAAGAACATTTCTAAGGGAGCTGTTTTGACTCACGCTTTTGTGGTCTGAGGACTGGAGTTTAAAATTCTTCACTTTGTAACCCAATGAAATGTATTTTTGTTCCTAATTTTTAAAACACAGATGGCAGTAATGGAAGTGACATGCCAGAAGTCACTTCAGCTCCATTTCCCCCACATAGTGGTTTGATTAGTAAACAAATCCTCAGGATACAGTTTCTCACAGATCCTCTGAAATCTTCTAGCACTGTAGGAAAAACAATAACCAAACAGCTGGAACACATTATCTTCTGCAACACTATTTTATTTACTACAAAATTCCAGCTTTCAGAATTTCTAAGCTTCAAAACTTCAGACTTTTACACTGTCTCAGTATGGTATGTAACCTGGAGGTAGAGGTACAGCTCCTAACAGCATCTAAACCAACAATCCAACCAGCAGATGAAAAGCAAAGGCAATGATTTTCTACATGATCCAAATGAGCAGCTGCCTGCATGGATGTCAGTTTGTGGAGTCCTACTATATTTTGTTGGTATAAAGTCACCTGGAAAAGATTTTCACCCGTGCTCTTGGATCTGTTGCATCTCTGTCATCGCTGCCTCCTCCCTCCCATCAATCTCCTCTTTTTTAAATCCCGTTGCAATTGCAAATAAAATCCAACACCCCAGGAAAAGTCTCAAAGACAGACAGTTTTAAGGTTTGTGAAAATGAGTGACTAGCTACAAGAGGAAACACACATGTGCCTCTCTCAGACTGCTGCTCAGAACTTCCTTTGCTATTCATTAAACTATTAGACAGATACCTTGTAAACACCTTAAGTGCCTTCAAATCAGCTTTTCTGAGCCTTTGCCATGTTCAACTTAGCTGTGTTGGCTTTGCTGCTTTTCCAGTAGCATGGCTCTGTCAATGATAGCCTTTTGGGAGGCCTTGGCTTCTCAGCTTCCTCCAGGATCCTTTTCACAGCCACAGCCTTTTGGGGCCTTCAGGGGCTTTTTAGCAACAAACACCTTAAACTGTCTGTTTTCTCTCAAATCTTCTGCAGTTATTGAGCTGCAAAAAGCCAGAGATACCCATGCCTTTGCTCATGAGATACTCAACGACAACAACGTTTGTGCTTGTCCAGACTGTGCCCTCTGCCTTCCACAGATTTCAGTGCTCCTCAGAGATGAGGTCTGCTGTGCTCATAACCAAAAGCTCATGAGGGTACAAGAAGCAGCCCACAGGCTGGAGTGCATCATTCTGAGAGGCCTCTCTCATTTCAGAGTTAAGTTTGGTGACTGATATCTAAGCTAGCCTCAGCCAGGTGTGAGAAGCCACACTGCAATGCCCTACCCTGGTTACCACACCATTACTGGCACTGCATTCAGAAGGGAATTTTTGTAACAGCCAGCAAAATCCTTGCTGCTGCTCTGGAATCCATTTCCTGGACAATTATGGAGGAAAACATTCTTACAGGTTCCCAAAAAGACTGTGGGAAACCATTAGAGGTCTACCAGCACTCAGATAACAACAGGAGGAAAAATAAGCACTTTACCCACTTTTGTGGAAAACAGCCTTTGCCTTCCAGCTAACAGCTCCAGATTAATCAGTCTGAAAACACTTCTGCAATGGAGGCTGCCAGAAACTAACCACAGCTGGTTTGGGGAAGCAGGTGCTGAGGATTCCAAGGCCACAGAAGAGTCACTCACAAAATTCTGCTCAGCCCTTAAATAACACTCTTTTAAATATCAGCCATTTCTGATCACTTGCAAATATTTCCAGGAAATCTCTACAGTAACTCAGAAGAACCATCTCTCTCCAGGGCTGATGACAGCGTAACACAAGTTACTGATTACAAATGTCCAAATGTAACTTCCATACAATAGAACCATTGTCAGCATTTATTAACTTCATTAAGGCTTAGCATTAGTAATTTCAACCTTGGCGTTTTAATAGAACTTCTACTTTACATGTTTCACAGTGAAAGTATTTTAAAGTGCTTGCCAAAGCTCCTATTTAAATATGCATTATTCCAGTTTTTACCACATGTATATTTAAAAAAGGGACGTTGGTATTAATTAGACTTGATATCCTACTTCCTGATTCCCTTACCTTGTCTTGGTTATTTCATACACTTCCTGCTGAGAAAAAGGCTAGTTGTCTCTGATACATGTGTTTATCATAATAGTTCAAATTTAAGAAACATTAAAAATAATGTGACAACTTAAAGAAACTACATCCTTTTCCAGACATTAGTATCTCACTACAATAAAAAAGTTAAATAATTATGAAAATTAATTATTTTATTAAATAATTTTGACTGGAAAGCAAAACAGGAAGTTTATTCTAACTGGCAACTCAGGAAAAAAAATTACAAGTACAGATTATTTGAAGGTGAATTAAGTTTGCAATGATGTATGTATTAAACGCAAGAAATAAAGACAAAATAGAATGCACTGGAATAAGATATTCTGCAATTCTGCATTATCTGGCTGTGATACCACAATCCTTTTCTTCACTTAAGAGCTCTCACATGAAAACCATATTGCCTCAACATTTGCAGAAGAATCAGAAAAACCCACCAACCACAGTACAGTGTATGTCCAGTTAGCCCACTGCCATTGCCACTATTTATCAGCAAGTTACACAAATTTGTTTTCAAATAGTATTATTCAGATTCTTCTTACTGTTTTTCATCTTTTAGCAAGTGATCCAGCCAAAGTCCATGCTTCTTTAAGCACAACATCATCTCCAAGATGTCACCACTGGAAATTGATCAATTGCAGCACTTTGCAGAATGCAACAGAACCACTTTCAAATCTCATTTCAGGGCATGAAGTGTTCTGGCCATGTATTACAGAGTAAATGAATTTTAAAACCTACAGGGAAAAATGCAGGACATCCTTGGGAGGGAGAAGAGCATCTGGTCCTGACTAGCAAAGGAGGAGCTTGCAAGGACTAGAAGAGACCTATTATCTGCGGCTTCTTATACAGGGGACACACACTCGCTCCCCATGCTACTTTATTTCCAGCACCCAGGTTCTCAAGCTTTTGTCTCTAAGCCAAGCCACTCACAGTCTGCTCACCTTGAAATTCCAGGAAGTCTTGCTTCACTGTCAGATTTGCCCTGAGTTCATACTGTCATTTATTTGGTTTTTTTCCCCCATTTTCTCTGTTGAGTGAAACAAACTCAAAACTCTGCAAACGCTCCCATGAGCCTCTGCCTCACCCTTCCACTCACAATTCCTGTTCCCTAACACCCCCCCAGTACACACTCATGTTCTGACAGGTTCTTGGTATTACCTTCCCCTCCCTGTAGTCAGGTCTCCAGTTCACTGTATTTCCTGGAACAGCAGCTGCACAAAGAAAGCCCAAGGACAGTGTCTGCCAGCACTGAAACCACAAGCTCCACGGCTGCACAGCTCCAACCAGCAGAGAGCGCAGGGTCAGGCAGCTTTTAGCACCAAGACAGTCAGGGGAAATAAGCAGAGTCTCACTGCTCAACAATGGCTACAGAGCTGTGGGGAAGTCCAGAGTTGAGGCAATTGTGCTACAGTCCAACAACAGTGAATGACCCCACTGATACTTCTGCTACTAAAAGTACAAGGCTAATAAAAACAGAAGGAAAGGAGGAACAGGAAAGGCAAGGGCTCCCTAGAAGCACCTTTTTTTCATGCTTCACATGCTCTGGGGAAAGCAGGGAAGACAAGGTTCCAGGGGCAGAAGCCAGGGTGGCAAGAGGCTCTGACTTCCCAGGCTAGCAAACAGGATGAGGAAAGCAAAAGACACATGAAAACCTGGGTAACCTCTCTGCTCTCGCACACTTCCTGGGAATGTTGTACTTATTTGCGTGCTTTCCAGAAACTTCTTTTCGCAGAATCCAGGACTTTCCATAGAGCCTGACGTGATATTAACCAAATCACCCCTCCCCTCCTGTTTGTCCACTTGGCTGCCAATCAGCACATGACAAAACACCAGGCAGCCAAGCTGAAACCTAACTCCATGGTAATAGCCATAGAAGATCACTGCCATGTACTCTCCCTACAGAACCAAGCCAGCCTAGTGCTCAGAGGGCAGACAGGCTACAGTGTTTATGTCCTGGGCTCTCCTGCCAGGCACCACAGCAGGAAAATCAGAATAATTTAGGTTGGAAAAGACCTTTAAGACCACGATGACCAACAGTTAACTTAGCAGTGCCAAGGCCACCACTAAGTCAAACATTTGCATCTCTTTTAAATCCCTCCAGGCATGGTGACTCAACCACTTCCCCAGGGCATGCTGCTCCAATGCTTGATAACCCTTTGGGTGAACAAATTTTTCTGAATATCTAGTCTAAACCACCCTTGATGCAACATGAGGCTACTTCCTTTCATTGTATTGCTTATTACTTCAGTGAAGAGACTAACCCCACCTTGGTACAACCTCCTTTCAGGTAGCTGTGGAAAGCACTAAGGGCTCCCCTCAGCGTCCTCTTCTCCAAGCTAAATATCCCCTGTTGCCTCAGCTGCTCCTTGTAAGATTTGTTCTCCAGACATTTCACCATGCCCTTCCTTGGATATGCTCCAGCACCTCAATGTCTTTCTTATAGTGAGGGGCTCAAAACTGACCCCAGGATTCAAAGTGTGACCTCACCAATGCCAAGTTCAGGGGAACAACCACTTCCCTTGCACAAGGTCCATGAAACTCCCCCTAGTAATTTATAGAAGCAAAGTACCATAATAACTCCAGAAGGAGCCAAGGATTCTTAGATACAAGCGGCTTTAGGCAGAAGCAATAACAGAAAAACAGGCAAAGGCATACCTACTACTGAGGAAGAGATTTGGCTCTCCTGTCACACAACAGAAGCTGTGACAGCACCCAGAAATTACTCAGTCAAAAGGCTGCAACTTTTGTAATCTGTGTATGCTACTGGCCAAGAAAAATTACCACAGTCATCACACGTAAACATAGCCGAGTCCAAGAGTGGTGAGAGGAGCGGGTTGAAGTCACTGTAAAATGGCT